AGAAGTACGTGAAGAGCCACTACCATGTGGGCCAGAACGCGGACATCCAGATCAAGCTCTCCATTCGGCGCCTGCTCGCCGCTGGCATCCTCAAGCAGACCAAAGGGGTCGGCGCCTCCGGCTCTTTCCGCCTGGCCAAGGCGGCCATCAAGGTGAAGAAGTCCCCGGCCAGGAAGAGGAAGGCGGCAGCCAGGAGATCCAGGTCTCCCCGCAAAGCGGCTAGGCCCAGGAAAGCCAAATCACCAAAGAAGCCCAAATCCTCTGCCAGGAAAGCCAGGAAAGCCAGGAAGTTGAGAGCCAGCCCCAAGAAGGCCAGGAAGACAAAGACTGTTAAGGCCAGGTCACTGAGGGCGTCCAAGACCAAGAAGGCAAAGCGGCCAAGACTCAAAGCCAAGTCCAGCGCCCGGAAATCACCCAAGAAGTGAGAAGCCTAGAGGCGTTTCGGTACTCTCCCCATCGGTTTCTGTGAATAGCTTTTGCCTTCATCTTTACCCCTTCCTATTGCATTTATAAAGAATTGATCTATCCCTCTCTGGAAAAAGCTGGAACATGGCAGTTGATGAAACATAAAGGAACACCTTTGTCAAGGAGAGTACCCATTTTTAAGTCTGGTCTGGGTTTTTATTTTGGCGTTTCGGAAATTTTGTGTGTCTGATGGTTGGTTTTGACACTGGGCTGCTGGAGTGCTGGGAGTGATGGTGACTGTGTGTATCTGTCGAGGCTGTACAGGATTTCAGTTCCTGATCCTGCCCCAGCTCCCGGGGGGTTGTGTGTTTGCTGGGGCCGGGCAAAGACTCTGTCTCTGTTGGAGGGGAAGCGGGAACACACGGCTGCAAGAGCCACATCCTCCCAGGAGGAGGAAAGGGGGCTCCCTCTTCCCTCCTCCACCACCCCAGGTCCCAACCATGGGGCAGAGGCGAGTGGTGCTGGGCTGTTGGGTGCGAGGTCCGTGTGGTGCTGGAGATAACCACCCAGCTGGGCAGGCGATGGGGCTGCCCAGCTGCCTGCAGAGCTGCCAGGGCACAGCTGGGTGGTGGCAGGGACAGGACAGAGGAGGTGGAGCGGGGCCAGGGTCTGTCCATATTTGCTTTCAAGAAGTTGGAGGTGTCCAGCAAGTGGTAAGGGTTTGATCCACACGGAGAAAGGACGAACACGGCTATGAGCAGCTTTGCTTTTCTCCCTGGGGTGGGAAATGGCCTGAGCATGACAGTGGGCAGCTCCGCAGGTAGGCTGGGGTGGGCAGCCAGGGCAGGGTGAGGCAGGACTGCTGGGCACAGCCCCGCTGTCCCCCCAGGGTTCTGGCTTTGTGCCCATTGGGGCTGGCCCAGCTCCAGAGCCTGCCTGGCCCCTGCCACAGGCCCTCCGTGGGCAGGGCTGGGCAGTCCTGACAGCGGGGGCTGGCAGGGAGCCTGCGGGCCAGCTCTGCTGCTCAGCAGGGTCTGACAGCCTTGGGCAGGAGGTGCCTGATCCCCCTTGGCTAGAGACGTCTAAACCCCTTGAACGTCAGGATCCTCAACCACCTGGGCCAGGAGCTCCGAAATCCCAGGGGCTGTGGGTGCCCAATCCTCTTGGGCTTGCTGTGCCTAAATCTATTGGTTCCAGGGTCTTCACCTTCCCTGGTGGTAGCTCCCAGATCCATTGGCCTGATGATCCTAAATCACTTGGCCGAAGGCACCTGAGCCTTTTATCCATCGAGGATCCCAAATTGTGCAGTTGTGGGGTCACTTAACGCCCCTGGCCTTGTTGATCCTCAAGGTCTGTCATGGCCCCCTTGCTCCAAAACCCCTTGGCCCG